CCCTTTTTTCCCCATCTCCACCTTCTCCCATGCCGTGTACAGACCAAAGGACTGAGGCCATGGAAGGGAATGGGACTCAGCTTTATCTCACAGGGACCAGGTGTGGGTCTTCAGAGAGACCCCAGCAGCACCAGGGCTGCATCACCATCTGCAGCATCAGCAGCCACTGCCTTTTGTTTCAGCTGCATGGAAAGCAAGCTGCAGTGTCTCTGCAGAACAGGGCAAGCCAGCAGCGAGCTGGCACATCATTTCTGCAGAGGACACCGCTTCCCACTGCGCCAGGCTTGGAGCCCTGGGAGGACTCAGCAGCAGGTGCAGCAATGCAGAGAAGTCAGGAGAGCGCTGTGTGGGGAGAGGTGATGCTGTGAGAAGAGAGGTGGGTCACAGGGGGTGAAAGCAGCCTCTGAGCTGGTGCGGATGTAAAAGGGACAGTTCTGCTTCCCACACAGTCACGCTGTATCCCTGAAAGCAGCGTGCTCTGCTCAGGGGATCTGTGCCGGCGGCTAAGAGCGCAGTCACACCCTGCAGCAGCAAGACCCTCTCTGCACATGATAGTCACCTGTCTGTTGTCAGCATCCCAAAGGAGCTCAGAGAACACTGTCAGGCTGTCATTTGGCGCTTGGTGTTTGGTTACCTGTCCAACTCTACCTTGCACAAGAAGAAAATACGCAGGGGAGGCTGCAAATCTCAAGCTCCCTAAAGACAGAAGTGTCAAAATTCTGGCTGCCTACTCACCCTGACTTCGGCTGATCTCTGAATGCCAACCAGAGCAAGTCTCCTGCTTTGAGAGAAGAAACATGCTTGGTCCAGTGCTAAATAAGCTCAGTGAAAGGTTATTTAATATTTTGCTTCCCCAGCGCATCCTATGTGTGTTCTGGCCCTACTCAGGACAAACCTCCCCAGTGCTGTCCTGGAGGCTGAAGCCTTTGTCCCCTTCTTGGCTGCTCTAAACAGTGTCTAGCAGTGACTTCAGGCAACTTGAGAGGAAAATATCGGTATGGATAAGATGTACAGTGTGTAAAGATCTAAGCCTGTGCTGTCCCTGCATGACAAAATGGACTGGGTGCTGGTTTGAGGGCAGAACTCCTCACCAGCACAGCACTGCCAGCTCCATGCCTTCACCTCTACTCTCCCATGCCTTTCCCAGAGGGCAGAAGGAGGAGGAGAGCTGCAGGCAGCCCGCATGGAAGTCATCGTCCCTGCAGAACGGCTCCGTCAGGAATGTCCAAGTCCATCAAGGCTCCTACCAGCCTCAATTTTCTCCCATCTTAGGATATGCCTGAGACCCACGAGCACCAGGGTATTGTCAGAGCTCATCTCAGGGATCCTTTGCCATACCCAGAGGAGCTCCCATCCACCTCATACTTCCTCAGATGTGGCATCGACAGTTTTTCTGGCAACCTGTTCCAGCACATCATCACCCTCATAGTAAAGAATTTCTTCCTGACATCTAATCTGAATCTGTCCTCTTTTATTTTATGGCAGTTACCCCTTGTTCTCTCACTGCCCTCTCTGACAAAATGGTCCCTTCATTCCTGTAAGCCCCTTTATGTACAGGAAGGCTGCTGCAAGGCCTCCCTAGACCCATCTCCAGGCAGAACAAACTCTCATAGGAGAGGTGCTCCAGCCCTCTGACCAACCATGTGGCCTCCTCTGTTCTCACTCTGACAGCTATGCATCCTTCTTATGTTGGAGAGTCGAACACAGCAGTGAGGTGGGCAATCATAAGAGTGTGAGGGGGAGCATCACCTTCCTCGACCCGCTAGCTACAATTCCTTTGATGTAGGCCAGGGTACAGCTGATGTTTTGGGCTGCAAGCAGATATTGCCTGCTCATATTCCAATTTTTTTCCTTCAATACCCCCTAGTCCTTCTCCACAGGTCTACTCTCAATCCACTCCTTGTCCAGCCTGTAATCACGTTTGGGATCACCCTGATCTCACACTTGGCTTTGTTGGACCTCATGAGGTTCTCTTGGGCCCTCTGCTCAGCCTGCATAGGTGTCTGAAGGGCATCCCATTCCTCAGGCATGTCAACCACACCACACAGCTCAGTGTCATCCTCAGACTGCGGAGGGTACACTCTGCTTCATTATCCAGATTAGTAATGGAAAAGTTAAATAGGTTTGGAGCCAGGACTGACCACTGGGCCACACTGCTAGTTCATAGCCACCAACTAAACTTCAATGGCCACTGATCTCCACGCTCTTGACCCAGCCGTTCCGCCACTTCCCAACACACCCACTGTGTACTCATCAAATCCCTTCTCTATGAAGATCTTCTGGGAGACAATGTCAGTCACAAGCCTTACTCAAATCCAGGTGTGCAATGTCTGCTGCTCACCCATATGCCAAGCCAGTCTCTTCAGCACAGAAGTGTATCAGGTTGGCTAAGCATTACTCCCCCATCTTGCCCTTGGCAATGCTGTGCTGACTGCTGATGATGATTTCTCTGTCTTTCCTGTGCTTGGAGACAATTTCCAGCATGAGTTACTCCCTTACCTTCCAACATATGGAGTTGAGGCTGACTGGTCTGGAGTTCTCTGAGTCTTCCTTCTTGCCCTTCTTGGATCTAGACATCTGCTTTCCTCCAGTCTTTGAGCTCTTCTCATATTCCTCATGATCAGCAAAAGATTATTGTGAGTGGTCTCACAGTGGTATCTGCCATCTCCTTCAGCACTTGTATGTACACTCCATCAAGGCCCGTGTCCAGTTTGCTTGAGTGTTCCCGACCCCGTCCTCTTCCACCTAGGGTCAGATTTCTTGTTTCTGCATTTCCCTGTGCTTTCAGCGATCTGGGATTCCCGAAGTGGCCTTGCACCTCTGGACACCAAGCAAGACCCTGCTTGTTGAGTGTGAGGTCCATCAGAGTTCCTTTCATCGTTGGCTCCTCTACCACTTGGAGTAAAATGTTATCATCAGAGCTCTCCAGGAGCCTCCTGCATCGCTTATGTTCTGCAGAGCTGACATCCCCATGCAGGTATGGGGCACGAATGTGTGAGGCTGCTTCTAGCTGTCTGCAGAAGGCCTCAACCTGTTGTTCCTCCAGGTCCGGTAGCCTGCAGCAGACACCTGCTACAACATCTCCTGTACTGGTCTACTTCTTAATTCTTATCCAGACTCTCTGTCACCCACAGACAGAGCTCCTTGTGCTCCAACAGCTTTCTCACATACAGAGTAACATCTCCTCCTCATCTTCCCAGCCTGTCCTTCCTCAAGTGCCCCTATTCCTCTTTTGGCAGCCATCTATATGTAAGTCAGATGTTTCATATTTCATTGAAGCACCATTACCAACTGGAGATCTCAGCAAATGTCTTACAGAACATTTTATCTACTATGCAGACTGCAGAAGCAGGAGTGGTATCCCTGGTCGGCCTCTTCCTGCCAGAGAACAGCTGAACTAAATGAGTGGATCAGTTTCTTGAACAACTCTACAGTTCTTATCAATCCAGGGGCAAGATAGCCTCTATTACAGTGAAATGCATCAGGGTTGTTTTCTGCCTACAACCACCTGTCTTGTTGATGTCAGTGCCTTTGTTCTAGGGCATATTTGACAATTCTGCGTCTCTTATGGCTGACCTTGAAATACTATTGTTACTGTGCAGACCTAAAGGAGCTCGATGTGCACAGCCTAAGCTCATTCTGGGGCACTGAATGTTGCAAGGATGGCATGGCGGAGCACACCTATCAGCAGTGAGGGTTTTGCAGCGCCTGGACAGATGCTGATGTAAATGCCTGTTGGAACAGATCGAAGGCAGACTGGGCTTTGTGTATCTGAAGAAATCCTATATTTTCAGGCATAAGTAGAGTGATCAGGAGCACTCCTTAATGAAATATGCATGAAAACTAGCAAGGGACATCCCTAAAGATACCAAAGATGAGGCAGATTGGGTGGCTCACCAATGGTAAAGCCAACACAGAGGCAAGCTGTCTCCTTGCCAAAAACAATGACAATGTCTTGGTATTTTTCAGGGATAGAGTCTGATATTTCCTGACCATTCCTGACTGTCATCAGTTCTATGTTTACTAAACATGGCCACGGGAAAAGGCACCTTCTTGAGAAAATGGGGCTGCTTCTTCTCGTGGTGATCTTGGGTGAGGGAGGAGTCAGAAGAGACAGTTTACAAAATAACGGGGTCAGAGGTGAAGATCCCACTAACTTCCTAAATGAGATTAGGGGACTGCTTCAGCAGGACAGAAATGCTGTCATCCCAAAGAACCTCAGCATTCCTGCAGCTACCAGCAGCGTCGGCCCTGACAGCCTGCTGAAGCTCTTCAGTGGGCCTGCACCTGGATGGTGGGCTGGAATCAGTTCAGCAGAAGCAGGTGATGCAGTTGCAAAGGATGTTTACTAGCAACAACCAGCTCCTAATGAGACTTGATGCTAGAATCCCCACACCGTTTCCACCTGGGAAAAAATATGAAAATGCCTCGGCGGCCTCTGCCTCCATGCTTGCGTTGCATCAGCTGGCAGTGGGTTGGCTGGAAGCTCTTTTTCTGCAGCTGCATTCACTCAGTTGAAGTATATTTGGTCATGAAGAAGAGACCATTCTCCTTGCTGGTCTATGAGGATGTGGTATCATCATCCCATCGTTGTTTCTCCATATATCTGCCTTGATGTTTAATGGACCATGTGACATATCCCTGTCCTTGGAGCTGGCAGGGCTAGAAGGCAAAAAGTGCTGCTCAGCAGCGCATCTCCTTCACCAACATGGGCCTTAGAGTCTGCCCTTAATCAGCAGAGGTGTATGACCAAGAGGCGTTCTGAGACAAAAAAGTCCCATTGCACGGGAGAGCTGGCTGTGGGCTCACCTGTGCTGTGGCATCTCCATACCACTTTCCTGGGCACAAATGAACAGTGAGGGCGGATCTTTCCTGCAGCTCTGGGGCTGGTGGGTACCTGGGGGCACTGCACAGCTGCAGTGCAGCAGAGTGTCCCGAGAGGAGGCAGTGAAGAAGACTGCAATGATTGCATTGTGATACAGAAGAAGTGTTAGAGCTAATCCAGTGCCATCTGTCTTTATTTTGCTAACCCGTTCAGTTGGACGCCACATAAGTGCATTCACAGCAGATGAGCTGGGAGAGCCGTGGCATGGCAGCTCTTGGATTACTGGCATGAAAAGAATCCTTTTGTTCACGAGCCAGGAAGATTAGCTGCTGCCACGTCTGTGTCTGGTTTGTAGGACAAGAAAGAGAAGATGCAGTTCTCTTGCTGCCTTGGCCACTGCTTTGTGGCATCCCAGCTCCAGCTCTTTTCTCACCTCCCTCTTGCTTTATCCTTCCTCTGCTCCTTCCTTCCTGCTCTCTCCTCATCTTGAGCTTTCTCTGCCTTTTCCATCTGCTTCTCTCCTCTCTTGGCATCTTCTCCGATTCTGCTCGAGTGCACACAGTATCCCTTCTCCTCCTTCCCCGGGTTCAGGCGGGCAGCAGAGAAGTTCAGAGCCGCGCAGCTCTCCTGCACCGAGGTGCTTTACCTGCAGCCCCTGCTGCGAGAAAAATTGGCTCGCACCACCTGATCCGAGGCAATTTTGTTCACAGCGGGCGCTGGGGATAAAGCGCCGCAGCGGAGGCGGCCGCGTGGCTCTTAATGCGGGGCCGCCGGTGCCGCCGTGCGAGCGCTGCCGCGGGGCCGTGCTGGGAGCGGGGCCGTGCTGGGAGCGGGGCCGTGCTGGGAGCGGGGCCGTGCTGGGAGCGGGGCCGTGCTGGGAGCGGGGCCGTGTTGGGAGCAGGGCCGGCCCGGCGCCGCGCGTCAGCGGCCCGCAGCGCGGCGTGACCCACTTAGCAGCTCCGCCCGGCCCCGGGCGCGCCGCGACCCGCGGCTCGAGAACCGCTGCCTCGGCGGGCGGAAAACCCTCCGCGTCCGTTAGTTTCCAGAATGGTGCTCCGGAAGGAAACGTCCTTCCCGCGCCCTTGTGCTGAACCTGCGGCCGGCTGCACCGCAGGGAGCTGGGCAGGGGGCAGAGCGCGGGGCCGAGGCGGCGGAGGAGCAGCGGGACGGCGCAGCTCCAGCCCCCCGCCGCCGTGCTGCCGTCTGTCGGGGCTGCTCCAAAAGTAACGCCTCCTGTTTTGTGACGCCGGCCCGCACCCTCAGAGCCGGATGGTGCTGGGATGGCGGTGCGGCTCGGACCTTCCACCAGCATCCCGTTCCGTTTCGTCGCCGCGTGGCTGATGGCGGCAGAGGGGAGGTCTGACAAAACGGCGTCTGACGCCGAAGTGGAGCGAAGGTGTGGAGTTGGATGCCTCCGTGCAGAAAAATGGGACCCGCTGGCATTCATCAGCGCTTGTGAACGCTGATGGAGACGACGGTGCATGTGAGCAGGGTGAGGCTGGTGCGAGTCAGTGGCTGTGACAGTGGGCCACCTCTGCTGGTGCAGAGCCTACGTGCGGAGTGTGGCATGCAGGCTCTTGTTCATTGCTGGCAAAACCGCGTAGCTGTGATGGTGCCTGTGTTGAAAAACAGTGTCTGGTAGCTGAGAATTTGCTCCATCAAATGGTGTTGTTGTGCTCTTTGTACCTGCTGTAGTTTCCATGTAAATAAATAAGAGGCACTACTTTCAAAGCTGTGTGCATGGGGCTCGGAGGTAAAGAAGCCCACCTGCATGCTTCGTGTTGCCCAGCACTCCCTGACAGAGCTGAAAACTCAACCAAACGATTTCCCAACAATGGTCTCTCAGTGGTGCCTGAAATGGGCGCAGGTGCCACCAGGAGCCAAGCTGCTCCCTGTCCCCTCACCAGCATCCTGCACAGCTGCCTCTGAGTGCGAATCTGCATTCATGGAAAAACTCCATAATCTCCCTGACTGGGGATGGTTTGGGGTCATACACAGATGGATGGAATGAAATTAATTTTCTGCTTGGGCACTGACTCGTCCTAGGAGAAGTCCTTCATCTCACACTTGGGCTCGCTGGACCATGCAGACCTGTTGGGTTTCTTCGTGTGACACTGCAGGGGGCTGTTTGGGCCCTTCACAATCAAATAAGAGTCAGTGATACATAAAAGATGAGAAATGAGAATCCCCGCTCCTTGCGCAGCGCAGAAGCCCTCCTTGACAAGAACACGGCCCGAATTCGGCCCCTGTGGTTCTCAGAGCTGTTTGGCCACCAGAGGGTCCCAGTGCCCCCAAAGCTCAGCTTGGCGGTCAGGGTGAGGGTGCACAGCAGCGTGTGCTGCCCTGGTGCTAACAGGGCATGTAGGTCCAGGTACCAGCATCCACCAGTGCTGTGTGCAGTGCAGGATGGAAATGCGTGAGTCCTCCGCTCCTGTCTGTCCCCATCTCCTGGGAACCAACATTCCTGATGTCCTGCACACCTCATCCCTGAGCTCCGCATTTTGGGATGCGGGTCCTCCCTGCTCCCTGTGGCTGACCATTCCCACGCAGGGTCCTGGAAGTGGCACACACTGTGTGAGCTGGGGGCAGTGGGGCCGTGGGGTTCCATTGCAGGAGGTGGGGCACACAGGGCCATTACAGCACCCCAGGGTCGGGTGGGAGCCAGAGGGCTGCCTGCTCTCTGTGACTCAGCAATAATGCTTTGGGTAGTTAACATTTCATTATCATTTTTAAAGGCTAAGTGGCTTTTACCACCTGAGAAGTATATTAATGGCCCCACTAAAACACTCCCCTGAGTGCCCTAATGCTTCTGTTATATCGATTCATTTCCCCCCTCCCCCTTTTCCTTCTTTCTTTTTTGAAACATTTCTTTCTCTGTCCCTGCATGTATTGTCCCGTAGTGAAAAACATGCTCTCGTTTACGTGGTGCAGACAGGGGAATGACGCTTCTCTCCAACAAACTCCACTACTGAACCCTCCCCTCCTCACTTGCCTGTTGCCCCCCACAGCAGACAGAGGTAGATGGAGACTCATTCCTTCCCAGTCCCTTGGGTGACCAGCTCGAGCCCCATAGCACCAGGGTGCTGCCTGGGGTGGGCAGCGGTTCCCTGGGCTGCGTCATGTCCTTCATGCAGTCCCCAGCTCTCCCATCACCAAGATTGTCTGCCTCTGCACCAACACAAGTCACTGCTCGCCCCTTACAACACATCATTCATTGCCCAGTAGCTAATGAGTTTAGGGACTTACACCCAGGGTTACAGCTTCTTGCTCTTCCCTTGGGGGAAGCCTCACAGCAGAGAGCTGGAAGCTTTCTCCTTGCTGGAAAGGCCTCCCTCGCACCCGTGTCTGCCTGCTATTGCTCCCAGTTTGGGGCTGGCCAAGTGGAGGGCTCCCCCAGCTTCCTGCTTCTCATACCATCCATGGGTAGCTGAGGCTGAACAACCCCCACAGTCAGCCTCCACTCGTCCACAGTGTGTCCACGGCACCCCTCTGGATGCACGGGCTCTGCTTGCCCCACTCCTGCCTCCCATCTTCTTCCCATGCAAGCTGGCAAGTTCTTGGCCCTGAGGTTTGCAGGAGCAGAAATTGCTGCCGTCCCCATTCCCATGTGACTTCTGTTGTTTGCCCCCTGCTTCTCCCCCCTGTCAGAAGATGGAGACAGCCAGAGAAAAGGTCTTGGAAGAGCTACAGGTGGTGCTGGGAGCAAAACCCTGTGCTGCTCACACAGACTGTGGGAACAGCTTTGCTTTGGTGACGTCTGTTAGAAATCCAGTTGCAGGGTTGTTGCTTGGGTGGGAGGCAGCTCACGAGATCAAGACTGAGTTGGCCTTTATAATCCAGATTAGAAGTGTTGTTTCCATGGGTTAAACTGGATTCTCCAAAGATCCAGTCCTCACTCATGGATACTTATGGCTAAAAAGGCTGCAGGCAGGCACCCGTGCGCCAAGCAGGAGGCAGATGTCTCCACCCCCAGGTAGATCCTCCCCACCCACAAGCAGGAGCCTCCGCAGCTGGATTTGGTGGTGGCTGTTGCTGCATCCCCCGTTGAAGGGCTCATCGCGTCACCAGAGGCACACACACTGCCCTGGAGCTCCTCGAGGTAATGGGCCGGGACGGAGCGCTGCTGCGCGGGGCTGACACGCCGCGGGTCCCTGGCACAGCAGCACGTCCGGCTGGAGGGGAGTGGGAGGCTGCGAAAGGAGCTGCTGAGAATCCTTCCTGGTGGAGGGCCCTCATTAGGCTTGAAACGTTCATTATCTGATGAGCTTGGGGATGGAGAGGGATGTTTCTGAAAACTTCAAATATTTTGATCTTTTTTTTTTTTTTCTGCTTGATGGTGTTCTTTTCCCCTTACAAAATTGGTACAGCTCTCCCCTTTACCCATCTCCATTTCATCAAAAAGGTGTTTTTAGATAAATAAAATGAGAGAACACAAAGCATCCCTGGTTTTAGGCTGGTCTAGGCGTCAACCAATTGCATTCCTCTGCTGGTGAAGCCAGAGCTGAGAGCTGCTCAGTGCTGTTCCGTGTCCCCATGCAGAGCTGCTGGCCCCACCATGGGCAGATGCCGGGTTCACCCGACTCCAGATGTTCAGCTCCTGCCACAGTGCTCAGAGCAGAGCTGACCCCACTCCAGGGGGAGGAAGCCCCCCCACAGCCCTGTGCTGATGCCCATTCCTGCAGCTCCGATCCCAGCCGGGAGGTGCAGGAAGAACACGAGGCGCCTTTGGACAATGCTGTGTTGAATTTGGCACCGGTGGCACCGAGAGCCGTCATGTCAGAGAACACGTCTGTCGTGCAGCTCATTATTTCCAGCCACAAGGCAGGGCTTCTCGCAGGCAGTGGGCCCTGGGACACGTTCAGCCCTTGTTTCTGGCTGGGGCAGCAGCCTCCAAGCCGGATTCCAGCTGACTTACCTCAGCGCGCACAGCCGGCACAAGGAGAGCTCTGCGCTCTCTTTTCCCATGTTTCCTGCTGTTTTTCTGTTCTCAAGGTTTCCGTTCAGTTGCTTCCACTTGGGATTAGTTGTCGGGCTGTGTGCCTGTACGACACCAAGGATGCTCTGCTCCCAATCGATTGCTCCCTGTCCCCAGCACCCAGGAGGTGCAGTTTGCTCAGCATTATTCCTCAGCAGCTGATGCTCAGTTCTTCTCTGCCTAACCTATGTGGGACAGACTCCTCCTCATTGTCTTCTAGTGTTTGTTGATATCAAACTGGTTTAGACTCCCTAATAAAATACACCCCCCTTTTCTTGCCCATAGATTCATAGGATCACAGCACATCCTGACACGGAAGGGACCCACAAGTGTCACCGAGCCCAGCTCCGCACAGCACCACCCAACGTTCAGGTTTTGGCTGCTCATTAAGAGCTGCAGAAATTAACTTCAGCAGCTCCTCACCTCATCTCTGCTTGTCTCCTTGATGAGCTCCCTGCAATACTGATCCTTCTGGGGGAAGGCTGCATCTTCCCCCCTCCCGCAGCCCTTGACGTCTCCACACACGTATTCTGACCTCGGGCTCTGCCTGAGAAGCCGCAGTCAGGCACGCTCCCCTGGGGCTGGCAGCAGCACACAGGAGGAGCAGGGACAGGTAATTACGGCTCCTGGGGCAGTGGATGCAGCGTCAGTGGAAACAAAGGGAAGAAGGAGGCAGAGCGCTGACCGCAGCTTGTTCGCCTGGGCCCACGGAGCTGCCTCCAGAGCAGTCCCACCGAAGCCATCAACCCCCAGACAGCTCCGTCCTGACGTTTCGGAAGCCAGCCACAAGCTGCCGAGGACACCTATCTGGGAGGATGGCCCAGACGGGGACAGCCCAGCCCTTTGTTCCCTCTGGTGGTCCTTCCCCTTTCGTGGCAGAGCCCAAAGGGATTCCCCATCACCTCCCAGCCTCCCCCTCCATCTCGCCTTCTCCCCTCAGCTCCCCAAAGCCTTTCCCTCCCTCTGTGTCCCCCCTTCCCAGCCCGCTCCTGCTTCTCCTGCCACCTCGAGCTCAACCACACGCTGCTGGAGCGGAGGGGACGTGGCTGCTGGGCGGATCTGCAAAACACAGTGAGATGAGGAAGCTGTCTGCAACCGGTGCCCAAGTCTGCAGATTGTCACATTCAGAGCTGCTCTCCTGGAAGTGAGAAAATTTGGTCCCGATAGTAACATTTGGATCGCTGCTTTGCACAGATGTAACTCTTTTCTCCAGCTTCTGTTTTAATACGCGCATTGCTGCCTATTCCTGGAGATGCAATTCAGCGCACGCTGCCGGATGGAGGGAGCAGCCCATGAGACCGAGGCAGCCTGACTCCGCAGCCAAGGGGCTTCCCTTTGTTCTCCTACTTCAAAAAGCACCCAGCCCTCAGCCCCCGCGGCCATGGCATTTCGGGGAGGCGGGGAGGTTTGGGAGTGAGAGTTCATCACCGTGCCCTCTTTTCCCCTTGGCTTTTCCTGGGGGCTGTGGGTGCGGGCGCCAGGCCATGGAGGCGATGCTCCCAGCAGCGCATGGTGCCAGGGCAACAGAGGGTTCTGTGCTGGAGCAGGATGGGCAGCACACAAAGGGGGGGACCAGAGAGCACTGCTGCTGCAGCACCGCGCAGCCTGGCTTTGGGGCTTGCAGATTCACAGCCCTAATGCAACATTAATGGGTTTCGCCAGCACTGAATATTTATAACCCAGAGCAAGTTCCTACCCATCCACCGAGCAACTAGGGGCTGCATTGGAGCGAGGAGATGCCCGGGTTCTGTGTGGCTGCTGGGACCTGGTAGGGGCTCATCCCCCCTTGGGAAGGGGAAGAGCATGCCTCCAAGGAGGACCCAGAGATGTGTTGTCCTCAGCATCCTTCCCTTTCCCCTCAGCCCTTGGTGCTTGCTGGACTCCAGGAGCTCCTACCAATCCTCCTCCTTCCCCTGCTCCATGTCCCTATGTGCACCTTTTCCTTTGCCCACTGGTGCCTCTGGGCTCCCACACCACACTTCCTCCTGTAGCCACGGCCCTACAGCATGGGGGCTGCCCAATTGGCACACCTGGACTTAGAGGTCTCGTGGAGACCTTCTCCTGGTGTCTGCACGTGTGCATGGCTGCCTGCACCAGCTGCTCCAGGTGAGCCTTTTTCAGAGGGACAGTCACACTGTTAAAAGTGTTTGTTTCCCCTTTTCTTCCCGTTTCAAAGGGACGCTCGCTTTTTCACTTGGTTCTTGAAATCTTTTGTGTGGAGGCAGGATAAAAAATCACTGTGCTGCAGCCCACAGGTATACACGTGCAGCTCTGGGGGTCACTTTGGGGGCACTTCTGGGGTCATTTTTGGGGTGTGGGCTCTTTCTGTCCACCCATCCTTCTCAGATCTCTCTGCCTTCTGCTGGAGGCAAAGCTGGGCTGGGTTGGGGTTTCACTCCCCACCTGGGCACTCCCACAGTGCTGGAGGGCCGGCTGGGCTCTGTGCACCGCACCTCACACCAGGGGTCCCCAGGCCCGGGCGTCCCCCAGCGCCCAGGCAGCGCCTGGCCACCTCTCCCTATCTTGTTTGAAGCATCAGCTGCAGCCATCAAAGCACCTCCCCTCCCCAGCCCTGCGTTAAAAGAGCTGGACCTAAAATTAATTTAGCCCTGCTCTTTGTTGTGGACAATACAGAGGGGATATTGTGTGCGGGGAGAGAAAGGCTTTTTGTTTGGGTGAGGAGACAGCGGCGGTCTGTTCTTGCGGACATCTGAAAACAAGGCTGGGAAGAGCGGCCCTTTAAGTTCGGCTGAAGCAAAAACACACAGCCCCATCTCACAATTAAACACAGTATCAAACCGAGAAAGGATCAATTGAGCCTAAAACAGAAAGCTCCCCATGTGACAGATTCCAGAAAGTACGTGATACACCATGCCCAGGGCTAGTACATGCCTGCTGTGTTTCCCAGTACATGATTAATTTGACTCAGGGCAGGAGGCTGCAGGCGAGGGATCTGCAGCACACACTGAAAAGTTTTAACACTTTGAAGACTGGAAGAGCGCTGAGCGCAGAGACAAAGGCGGAGGGAGGCTGCGTGATGCGTGATGCGCCCGGTGCTGCTCCCAGCACCGCCAGCAAAGGAGGGCTGTGCCCTGCCTCCAGCACCTGCGCCGCTGCCCGCCTCCCCGGCGGGGGGCACCCCGCTGCCGGGAGGACCCTCGGGGGGTCCGTGGGTTAAGGATTAGGGGACACCTCCCCGGGGGTGGGAGGGACCGCCGGGCGGTGCTCCTCGCTCCGTGCGGACGGGTCACCTTGGGGATGCGCGGATGGGAAACAATTAATCCATCGGGCCCTTAATTGCCGGAGAGCGCCGCTGGCGCCCGGGGCACTTTCCCCGGGAGGCAACGGGTGGCGCTGCGATACCGGCAGAGCCGCGTCCCGCAGGGTCCGGTGGGGACAGCGGGTGGTACCCCGGGGCCGCCCCCCGCCCCCACCCCCGGCCCCGCACGGTGCGCAGCGGGGCGGCCTCGAGGCACATCGCTGTGACGCGGCCCTTGCCACCAGCTCCCGGAGTGCCGCCCGGCTTCGCGGGGACCGGGGGGACAGCACTAGCCGAGTGGCCGGCATCGCCTGGGGAAGGAAACGTGCCCGAGGACGGGATGGAGCTCCGGCATCCTCACCGTTAGCCGCTGGCCGGGGAGCCCCGGGCAGAGATGCT